CGCTCTTGTTACCCAGGCTGGAGTGCAATGGCGCGATCTCGGCTCACTGCAACCTCTGCCTCCTGGGTTCAGGCAATTCTCCTGCCTCAGCCTCCTGAGTCGCTGGGATTACAGGCACGCACCACCATGCCCAGCTAATTTTTTGTAGTTTTAGTAGAGACGGATTTTCACCATGTTGACCAGGATGGTCTCGATCTGTTGACCTCGTGATCCACCCGCCTCGGCCTCCCAAAGTGTTAGGATTACAGGCTTGAGCCACCGCGCCCGGCCACGCTCTTCTTTTATTTATTTGTTTTTAGAAACAGGGTCTCCTTGTGTTGCACAAGCTGGAGTACAGTGATGCAATCATAGCTCACTGCAGCCTTGAACTCCTGGGCTCAGGTGACCCTCCCACCTCAGCCTCCTGAGTAGCTGGAACTACAGGTACACACCACCATGCTTAGATAATTTTTGTATTTTTAGTGGCGGAGGGAGGTTTCGCTACGTTGCCCAAGCTGGTCTCGAACTCCTGGGTTCAAGCAATCTTCCTGCCTTGGGCTTCCAAAGTGCTGAGATTATAGGCATGAGCCACCGTACCCAACTGTATTTCTTAATATGATCCAAACACATGCCTACTGATAAATATTTATCGTGATAACTTTTCCTGTTGTAAACAATGGTGCAGTTAACATCTTTAGGTAGGCACAAATTTGTGCAAAGTGCATATATTTCTGTAGCAAGATTCCTAGAAAGGAAATGGTAGGTCAAAGATAGACACATTTGACAGCTCAATGGTCATTGTCAAATGCCTTCTAGGAAGTTTTCTGGGGACGGGTGCAGTGGCTCACACCTGTAATCCCAGCACCTTGGGAGGCCAGGGCAGGCGGATCACCTGAAGTCATGAGTTTGAGACCAGCCTGACCAACATGCTAAAACCCTGTCTCTACTAAAAATACAAAAATTAGCTGGGTGTAGTGGCACATGCCTGTAATCTCAGCTACTCAGGAGTCTGAGGCAGAATTGCTTGAACCCAGGAGGCAGAGTTGCAGTGAGCTGAGATCGTGCCATTGCACTCCAGCCTGGGCAACAAGACCTCAACTCCACCTCAACAACAACAACAACAACAAAAATAAAAGTTGTTTCTGGCCAGGCACGGAGGCTCATGCCTGTAATCCTGACACTGTGGGAGGCCAAGGCAGGTGGATCACCTGACGTCAGAAGTTTGAGACCAGCCTGACCAACATGATGAAACCCTGTCTCTACTAAAAATACAAAATTAGCCAGGTGTGGTGGCACATGCCTTTAATCCCAGCTACTTGGGAAGCTGAGGCAAGAGAATTTCTTGAACCCAGGCAGAGATTGCAGTGAGCCCAGATTGTGCCATTGCTCTCCAGTCTGGGTGACAGAGCAAGAGTCCTCCTCAAACAAACAAAACAAAAAAAACAGAAAACAAATGCCTTTTAAGAAGTTTTCACCGGCAGGGCACAGTGGCTCATGTTTGTAATCTCAGCACTTTGGGAGGCTGAGGCAAGTGGATCACTGTAGCCCATGAGTTTGAGACCAGCCTGGGCAACATAGTGAGACACTGTCTCTAAAAAATAAATACAAAAATTAGCTAGCCCCGGTGGGGTTTGTAATCCCAGCTGCCCCAAGAGGCTGAGGTGGGAGGACTGCTTGAGCCTGGGAGGTTGAGGCTGCAGAAAGCTGTGATGGTGCCACTGCACTCCAGCCTGTGCAACGGAGTGAGACTGTCTAAAACAAAAAAGGTTTTCACCAACATTCCTTTTTTGTTTTGTTTTGAGACAGGGTCTCGCTCTGTTGCTCAGGCCGGGGTGCAGTGGCTTGATCATCTCACTGCAGCCTCAAACGCCTGGGTCTTTCCGCCTCAACCTCCCAACTAGCTGGGACCTATAGGCGCATACTGCCATGCTTGGTTAATTTTTTAATTTTTTTGTAGAGACAGGGTCTCACTGTTTTGCCCAGGCTGGTCTCTAGTCTCAAGCAGTCCTACCATCTTGGCCTCCAAAAAGCACTTGGGATTACCAGCCACTGCACCTGGCCACCAACCTGCGGTCTTATCATCACTGAGCTTGTGTCCACCTGCATCCTGGCCAATACTCCGTACCACCAATCTTTCAGATTTTTCTTGGCTGGGCACAGTAGCTCACACCTATAATTCCAGCACATTGGAAGGCCCAAGCAGGCAGATCACTTGAGCCCAGGACTTTGAGACCAGCCTGGGCAAACATTATACAAACACTATACAAAAATTAGCTGGGCTTGGTGGCACGTGCCGGTAGTCCCAGCTACTCCGGAGGCAAAGGTGGGAAGATCACCTGAGCCCGGGAGGTTGAGGCTGCAGTGAGCCAAGATTGTGCTGCTGCATTCCAGCCTGGGTGACAGAATGAGACCCTGTCTCAAAACAATTCTTTTTTTTTTGGTCAATATTTGAGTCATAGTTTTGGTTAGCATTTCCCTTATTACTAGTGAAGCAGAACATGTTTTGAAATGTTTGCTGGCTGTTTGTGTCTCTTCCTCTGTGACCTATTTTTCTCAGTGGTTTGCCAGTAGGCATTTGCAGTTCGTTCGTTCTTTCGTTCTTTCTTTCTTTTTTTTTTTTTTTGCAGAAAACAAGACAAATGAGTTTTTATTTATTCAAGGGTACACTTCCAGGTGTAGAAAGAGGACATATGTTAAAAAAAAAAAAAAAAAAAATTAGGCCGGGCGCGGTGGCTCAAGCCTGTAATCCCAGCACTTTGGGAGGCCGAGGCGGGTGGATCACGAGGTCAAGAGATCGAGACCATCCTGGTCAATATGGTGAAACCCCGTCTCTACTAAAAATACAAAAAAAAATTGGCTGGGCATGGTGGCGCGTGCCTGTAATCCCAGCTACCCAGGAGGCTGAGGCAGGAGAATTGCCTGAACCCAGGAGACGGAGGTT